GGTTATAGAAGTGTTTCAATTTCATTATAATTTTTATATGTAAATAATAATAAAATATTATGTTAATTCCAGTATTATTATTATTATTATTATTTATTATTTTATTTTTGCTTGTTAACCCTCTTTCTCTATCAATAGTTAAAAATAAACTCATATTATAAGTTTTTTTTTAATTTACAATATATTTTATACAGTTGAATAATTCTGTTATTTTAATATAAATTTTAATTTATAAATATTTGTGGAAAGAGAAAATAGAGTTCCCTAAAACAAGTAGTTGAGAGACATTTCCCAAATTTGAATAGGACCAGACAAAAAAGGCTGCATCTGTCTACCCTAATAATATTAGGTGATACCTTCTCACTACACACTCAAAAGACCATACACCATCATTTGAGAGTTAAGTTAAACAGCCTGAAATAATTGAAGTTTTAAATAATCACTTTTAAATTAATTATTTATATATCTTAAATACATTTTAAGAAGATTTTCTAAATGTAAATAATCGGAATAAATATTAAGGAACTTTATTTCTTACAATAATATATTCCTTCCAACTTAAATTAATAGAAACTCGATATAAATTTTAAACACCACCAAAAAAAGTCATATATGCTGATCATTATTCCCTAATGTCTCACCCCAATAATGCAAATTATGCTAATAGTATTTATTCCCTCCTCAAGGAAAAATAAAAATAGAAAAAAGAACATGTATCCAGAAAAAGTTATATATTAAATAACTTTTAGTCACCTCCAACATTAAACAACATCTTCTCAACTGGTCATTTCATTCATTAATATCACTGAAATTCGATGCCTTTAACTTTAAATAGTGACAACAACAATTAATATCAACATTGCTTTACTTTTAGCAAGAGATGGGATCACAATGGTAAATGATTATTTTGGGTTTTGAAATTGCAAAGAGATGTTAATTTTAATTTTAATTTTTAAATAAAAAGAATTCTTATTTAATTATATAATATATATTATAGAATTTTTTTTTAGTAGAAAAAAAAGTTTTGAAGCAGATGGAAACTTGGACCTCGTAATGTGATTGAATGGCAGAAAGCACTGCGGGGAGTGTGAAAAGAAAGATTGGGATAAAAGTGGAATTAACCAAGGCAGCATGAATGGAGTAGGTGGGCCCAATTGAAGCAGGGTGGGGCAGGCCCACTGAAAAGTCCATGACAGAGATAATGGAGAGGGGAAAGAGAATGAAAAGGTCGATGGTGGGGGAGGAGAAGAGACAGGCAACAAATATGGATGGTGGGTGATGAGAACCCTGGCCAACCAGCACAGCATCATGGGGAGGCCATGATCCTCATGATCAAAATGGAAGTGGCACAAAGATGAACCATCTAGCATTTGAGGTTTGGCTTTGCTTAGCCAAGCCAAGACACCAATGACCTAATTCTAGTGTCATTACCAATCTTTTCATGGGAGCACTAACTTAACAATACCTCACTTTCAATTCCAATCATTTTATATGTTTTAGTTTTTCTTATAAATTGTTCTAGTTTAAGATGGAATTCCAGTTCATTACTAATGAACTAATTAGATTTTTTGATTGATTTAAGTAATAAACTAATCAGGTTCCTTTGATTGATTTAAGAAATTGTTTAAAAAATATGGAACAAGATGATAATTTTAATTTCTGTTTTGGTTTATTTCGTCTAGTTTATTAGTTTATTTTGAAGTGAAATGAGGTCTATGGTAACGAACTAATTAGGTTCTTTTGATCGATTTAAAAGACTGTTTAAAAAATGAAATTATGTCTAGTTGTACAAATTTCATTGATAGCATGTTATGGGGAATGCTGTTTCACACAGATTTTCGTCAAGCTTTTTAGTTAATCTTCGTAATGAGTTTCTCATCATTATTTGAAGGAAGCCAAATTTGTGTTTGGTTTTCTTTAATACGCCTTCAAGGTGAATCGCTCTTCTTTAAATATTAGACATTTGCATGGAAGTGATTGAAAACATTTTTGGAAAGTTTGAGCATGTGTTATAAATTAAAGTCATCTGTATTAATTTATTAATAATATTGTTAAACTTATTATATATAATTTTTAATACAAAAATAATAATATTAGAAAAATTTTCTTGAGTATTAATTGTTCAATAAGTTAGTCATGGACTTACCTAAAAATACTTGTCATTGTTATTTGTTAAAGATTTTAAATTACTATTATTTTTAAATCATGTAATATTAGCATATGTTGAAAAATACAGCCTATTATTGACTGTATTGTGAACCAGAAAGATGACGTGAACATACTACAAAGTACAAACTACAAACACGTCTAAAAGTAAAACATGTTTGAATATTTTTATATAAAAGAATTATGATTTTTTTTTATCTTTTATATCCTTAAAATTTATAAACATTCATGTTACATTTGTTTGACAAAAAAAAACAATTTTTTTTAACAACTTTACTTGTATATCCTTGATGAATCTTAAATTTGGAGACTATTAATTCACCTAAATTAAAAGGATAGAATTTGTAATTAACCAGAAACGAACCTGCTTTTGAACAAAAATAAACAAAAACAGTTTCCAAGAATTGTACCCTTAACAAGGAGCTAAACGAGAAACTTTAGAGATAATGTCGTGATTTGAAAGGGAGATTTTTCCTTTATGTCATACATGAACATGAATAATTTGAAAAAATGAGTAATTTGAAAGGACCCAATACACAAACAAGATGTTCGACATATGTCTCCCAATCTCACTTGCCATTAAGCCTGCACATCCACATGTTGAGGTATTGTTATCTTATCTTCTCTTAGAAGTGGGATACTACATCTTTGACTCTTCACTTGGATCTTCTAAAACTCACATTTTTTTGTGTGGTTTTCATGCTTCCTTTTGTCTCCTCCTCTTAACTCTCTACATCTCTCTTGTATTTATTTTCATTTATCTTGTTGATGGGTAGGTTGGTGTGCCCTAGTTTTAGTGTTTCTTGGGTGTGTTGGATTCCCATTTTAGCTTGAAAATAATAGGGTTTCCCAACATATTATGTCCTTGAATGCGTTTGTGAAAGATCATGAAATGTCACCATGTTCATGATTTGTTTGTCCTCTGAGTATTACAAGCTTAATGACATGACACGTTAAAAGCTGAGTTAGATTGTATTGGGCCGATCCTAATACATTTTGTTGTTAACATCAATATTGAATACCACTTGTCTCAAAATTTAAATAACCAAGTGATAGTCGAAGATGAGTATAAAGATAAGAAGTGTATCCCCAATGATGCACAAATGCATGCATGAGCACTTAAGTTGTATTGGGAAACGGTTCTTTTGCTCAATTTGAACTCAAGACAAGGGAATATTATTGGATAAATGATGTTTGGGAAGTATAGTGAATGTGATGATGTCAATAGGGGTGGTTAAAATGGCAATGGGTGGTGGTGGTGGTGGTGGTGTTCCTCTTAGTGCAATACAATGGATGACCATGGTGATGATGACTAAGGGATTATGTTGATCACTATAATGGTAGTAGTGATAGCCATGTGAGCATTATTGGCAATTGGATGGTGCTAATAGTTCCCATAGGTCTAATATGGTGATCACATTGGTGATGGAGAAATAAAGAAGCTAAGTGATTTTCTTCATTTAAATATATTAGATTTTTTATTAAGTTAAATCCACTTCAATCTTATTTAATATTCTATAAATGAGGTAACATATCTTATATATTTAATTTAATATATAATTTAATTTATCGAATCAAAATTATTAAATAATATTACTTAAAAATATAATATTATATAATTTATTTATTATTATATTAATTAAAATTTTTTAATATATTAAATATTTCATAATATGATATATTTTTGAAAAATATTTTAACAATCTAAAAAATATCTTAAAATTAAAATTTTAATATAAAAATATTCTTTTTTAAAAAAACTTGTAACCTAATTAATCCAACTAACTATAGATTGAATTGACTTCACTCAAATAAAAAATATATGAACCTCCTATCTAACTTATCTCATTTATTTTTATTAAATTAGGTAATAGATTTGGTCATCATTAAATATATATTTTTTAAATAATTTAATTGACAACAAATTTATAAATATATTTATATATTTTTTTATATTATTATCGATACTCAATTAAAATTGTCATACTTATTTAAAAATTTGAGGTAATAAAAAAACTATTATAGAAATCGTGAAAAAATTGAGATTAAGAGAAAAAAAATCAATTAAATGTTATAGTTCGTATCGATAATATAGGTTGAAAAAATCATTTAAACAGTTTTAATAGTTGACAATGTAAAACAATTAATTAATAATATGTCAAAACTAAACTCGTTATTTATAATTTGATAAAATTAAAAACTAAGATTTTACAGATGAAAACTATTTGCTATTATAAAAAAAAATGAAAAGTTTAAATACATCGTACAAGTATACATAAATAACCAAAATTGTAAATAAATAGATGGATAAAGAGACAAAAGTCTTATCATAAGAAATGAAAATTTTAAATTGGTGTCATACAAATATACATAAGTGATGAGAGTTAGTTGTGACATGAATTAAAATTATTGTTTATTTTTGGTTCAATCTAAATTATTAAAATATATAAATGTATAGAGAAAAATATGAAATTGAAGTCACTATTATTCATACTTTATCTCTCAAAGGAGAAACTAAGGAACTAATAGGAGAGAATCGAGTCAATGGTGGTTGGGAAAATAAAAGTAACATGATTGGTGCATCCAATCCAACCCATTGACCAACTTTTATTTTATTAAAGATCAAAGAAACAGAGATCGATGACCTAAAGCAACACAATTTCCAGTGTGTTTCCTACGAAGACTTTAGTACTGTGTTCACATGCGAGTGGTCAATTGGTCATTCCCATCTTTTCTTTGTGTCTACTTCATACACACACATGAGGATAAAAGAAACAAGGCTTGCATTGAAGTGTTAGCAGAACAAGCATTGTTGCAGGGATAGTGATAATTCAATGGGATCTACCAGTGAAGCATCATCATTTTCCACTCCAACCTCAGGAAGGTCATGGTCCAACCATGTTTTCTTGAGTTTCAGGGGTGACGACACACGCAGAGGGTTCACAGGCCATCTTTTCGATTCACTGGAGAGAAGGGGGATCAAAACTTTCAAGGATGATCATGATCTCGAGAGGGGCAAAGTTATATCAGTGGAACTCATGAAGGCCATTGAAGATTCCATGTTTGCACTCATCATTCTCTCACCAAACTATGCCTCTTCAACATGGTGTTTGGATGAGCTTCAAAAGATTGTAGAGTGCAAGAAAGAAGTTTTTCCAATCTTCCATTGTGTGGATCCCTCTGATGTGAGGCATCAAAGAGGTTGCTTTGCCAAGGCCTTCAGGGAACATGAAGAGAAATTCAGAGAAGACAGAAAGAAGGTGGAAAGATGGAGACTTGCCTTGAGAAAAGTTGCAAGTTACTCTGGCTGGGACTCCAAGGATCAGTAAGATGTCTCATTCATCATCACTCAGTTTGATATATTACTCTTTGTTTTTATTCAGCTCAAATGATATGCTATCATCATCATACGTAAAATAGATTATGGTTAAATAACCAAATTATGATCAATTACAAAATAGCATCCGGAACACACAGACACTACTAAGCAAGAGCTTTCTGAAAATAAACAAAATAAAACAGAACAAAAATGAAAACAGAGAGGGATTAGCAAAAACATAAAGAGAAGAATAAAAAAAGAAAAAGAGAAAACAGAAGATTCTCCCAGCATTGCTTGCTGTGTGCAGTGATCACAGATTCGGTGCATTACCATACTAAATTGGTTTATTTGGTGACACGATGTCACATCAAATGAAATTTTACTGCATTAACCAAAATTAGCATTTTTAGTGAAAAAACAAATATAGGGACTAATTTGTTTTACTAGAGACAATTTAAGGAACTAAACTTAAATATTTTTAACTTAGCTGATCAAAAGGAAAAAAATAATAGTAAGATATGGATCAAAAGTCTATTTTAGTCATTTCCTTAGTTTGTCTGTATGTGGTACATTGAAATTTAAACCAGTAAACTCTAATGCAAATTTTTAATCATTGTACCTTAGATTTGCAAAATATAAAATGATAACTTGTTTTCTCTATCTATTGCTATACTTTTTTATGGTTCTTGTTAAGATGAAGTCTTCTTTTTATCATTCTCTTAATACAGGCATGAGGCAACACTGATTGAAACCATTGTCGGCCATATACAGAAAAAGTTAATTCCTAGACTCCCATGTTTCACAGATAACCTTGTTGGAATTGATTCACGGGTGAAAGAAGTGAATTCACTCATGGGCATGTTGTTAAATGATGTTCGCTTCATAGGAATATGGGGCATGGGAGGCATAGGTAAGACAACAATTGCTAGATTAGTCTATGAAGCAATCAAAGAGAAATTCAAGTTTAGTTGCTTTCTTGAAACAATTAGAGAGTTGTCCAAGACAAATGGCTTAGTTCATATTCAAAAGGAAATTCTTTCTCAGCTTAATGTAAGAAGCAATGACTTTCATAATCTTTATGATGGGAAAAGGATAATAGCAAACTGTTTAAGCAACAAACAAGTACTTCTTGTTCTTGATGATGTAAGTGAAATAAGCCAATTGGAGAATTTAGCTGGAAAGCTAGAATGGTTCGGTCCAGGAAGCAGAGTGATAATCACAACTAGAGATAAGCACCTGCTAAAGACATATGGAGTGGATATAACTTGGAAGGCTAGAGGCTTAGCCCAAAATGAAGCCCTTCAGCTCTTTTGTTTGAAAGCATTTAAACAAGATCAACCTGAAGAAGAGTATTTGAATTTGTGCAAAGAAGTGGTTGAATATGCAAGAGGCCTTCCATTGGCACTTGAGGTATTGGGTTCCCATCTTTATGGAAGAACCGTTGAGGTTTGGCATAGTGCTTTAGAACAAATTAGAAGCTTTCCACACTCCAAAATCCAAGATACACTGAAAATAAGTTATGACAGTTTACAACCTATGGAGAAAAAATTGTTTCTAGATATTGCATGTTTCTTCGTAGGGATGGACATAGATGAAGTGGTAAATATCTTAGAAAATTGTGGTGATCATCCTAAGATTGGAATCGATATTTTGATTGAAAGATCTTTGCTAACTTTAGATAGGATCACAAATAAGTTGGGGATGCATGATTTGCTACAAGATATGGGTAGGAATATTGTATATCAAGAATCTCCAAATGAGCCAGGGAAACGTAGTAGGTTGTGGTCTCAAAAAGATATTGATTATGTATTGACCAAAAACAAGGTAGATTCTAATTTCTCTACAACTATTGGATACTTGAATGGTGCATGCAATATTTTTTCATCTTTAAGTCTGTGTGTTTTATTCCATGTCCCAAATTAAGTTCTTTGCCATTTTGTTTTTCTAGGGAACTGATGAAATTCAAGGCATTGTTCTGAACTTGGTTCAACCGTATGATTATGAAGCACGCTGGAACACTGAAGCTTTCAACAAGATAAGTCAGCTAAGGTTACTCAAGTTATGTGATATGCAGCTTCTCCGTGGCCTCAACTGCCTTCCTAGTGCACTAAAAGTTGTTCATTGGAGAGGATGTCCTCTCAAAACCCTGCCACTTACTAATCAACTAGATGAAGTTATTGACCTCAAATTGCCTCATAGCAGAATAGAACAGCTTTGGCATGGGACAAAGGTAAAGACCATTTATCAAGAGTTCTTTCTAAATTATTTAGTCATCACCATAATAAGTCAGAGAACTAATATAATCTTTTGTCTCCTTGTCATAAATTTTTAACAGCTTCTAGAAAAGCTTAAGTTCATCAATTTGAGCTTTTCCAAGAACCTAAAGCAATCCCCAGACTTTGTTGGGGTTCCAAATCTTGAATCACTGGTTCTTGAAGGTTGCACAAGTTTAACTGAGGTTCATCCATCCCTTATACGCCATAAGAAACTTGTTATGTTGAATTTAAAAGACTGCAGGAGGTTCAAAACTCTTCCAAGTAAAATGGAGACGAGTTCCTTGAATGGTTTAAATCTTTCTGGTTGCTCTGAATTTAAACGTCTTCCAGAGTTTGCGGAAAGCATGGAACATTTGTCAGTGCTTTCTTTAGAGGGGACTGCTATAACAAAACTACCCACATCACTGGGATGTCTAGTTGGCCTTGCTCATCTGAATATGAAGAATTGCAAGAATCTTGTTTGCCTTCCAGATACCATTCATAAATTGAAATCCCTCATAGTTCTGAATGTCTCGGGCTGCTCAAAACTTAGTAGCTTGCCAGATGGTTTGAAGGAAATCAAGTGTTTGGAGGAACTTAATGCAAGTGAAACTGCTATTCAAGAGTTACCTTCATCTGTCTTTTATCTGGAAAACCTCAAAGATATCTCAGTTGCTGGGTGCAAAGGGCCAGTATCTAACTCAATAAATAATTTTTTTCTCCCCTTTAAGAGGCTATTTGGGAATCAACAAACTTCCATTGGATTTAGATTACCACCTTCTATAAGATTACCCTCTTTGTGGAAAATAAATTTAAGTTACTGCAATCTATCTGAAGAGTCATTCCCAGATGATTTTTGTCACTTATCTTCGTTGGTGGTTCTAGATCTCACTGGCAACAATTTTGTTAGCTTACCAAGTTGCATTTCCAAACTCTCAAATCTTGAGCGTCTTATCCTAAACTTCTGCAAAAAGCTTCAAAGGTTGCCAGAGCTTCCATCAAACATGCGAGGATTGGATGCAAGCAATTGCACTTCACTAGAAATCTCCAAATTCAATCCGTCCAAGCCATGTAGTCTCTTTTCATCACCTATAAAGTGCCGTTTACCGAGACAACTGAAATGCCTTTTCGAGGTTTGTACCTTAGTTTTATCCACATTAAAAAACTATGTGCGTAACATAATCATCCATTCTTGTTGCTCATTCAACATTAAGTTATGTGTGTTACAACATGCAGGAACTCCATCTTCCCAGAGAAAGATTTGACATGCTGATCCCAGGGAGTGAAATTCCACCATGGTTTTCTCCTAATAAAACTGTTTCATTTGCAAAAATATCCATACCTCAAAATTGCCCTATGGATGAATGGGTGGGATTTGCTTTGTGTTTCCTCATAGTAAGTTATGCTGTCCCTCCTGATGTGTGTCATCATGAAGTTGAATGCTACTTGTTTGGACCTAACGGTAAGGAGTTTATCAGCTCCAGGTATTTACCTCCCATGGAGCCATGTGACCCTCACCTTTATATTCTCTATCTGTCCTTTGATGAATTGTGCGGCATAATTTGTAAAGGCGGGGATTGCAGAGAAATTGAATTTGTATTGAAAAGGTATTGTTGTTATTCTCTGGAGATAGTGAGGTGTGGGTCTCGTTTGGTATGTAAGCAAGATGTAGAAGATATTTATGGAAATAGTTTTTAGGTTGTATCCTAATACCTGTAGTTTCATGTAATTATGTGACTTGTGTAGAAAGTTCTCAAAAATATGTTCCAGTTAATAAGTTATATGATTTCCCAGATGAGGTGTGCCATCATGAACTTGATTTGATTGCTACTAGTGTGATGCGTTTCTTTCAAATTTAATATTAAAGTTTTCTTTTTTATTTTAAGAAAATAAAATATTCCTTTAAAATTTAATGGATCAAAGCTATAACCACCCCAAGTTTAGAGGCTAAAAAACATAAGTAAATCAATAGTTTGTTAAAAAGACATGTTAAAAGATGTAGTAGCAATTTTAAACTAAATCGAACAAACAATGAAATATTTTAATTTAAATAACTTGATTGAAGCAACAAAAATCAGTAAACAGAACTTAAAAATATTTAATTGTAATGCAAAAGTTCTGTAGAAAATATATCTTTTAATATTGTGATACGTATTTTTGTATCATTTACTAATATTTGTAAACATAACCTTAAAAAAAATGGACTAAAAAATAAACACTAGTTTGTTCATTCTTTTTAAATGATAAAATGGATTAGATTTGACAATTCAATCCATCAATTTATGCGACGAAATAATAATTTTAATGTGCTAATCCATTAATTAGTCATCAATCCTAAAAGTGAAGAATAAAACGAATTGATCTGTTTTAAATAAATATTTATATATTAAAATATTTTAATTTAAATAATAAAAATTAAATTATTAATTATAATTAGTTATTTTAATATAATTTTTTACTTTATCTAATAAAAATATTAATTAATACATAAAAACTTAAAAATTATTATATAATTAAAAGTATATTTTAAAAAATAAAAAATAAAAAATTTTATAAATAAAAAAACATTGATGAGTTAACTTAATGACTTATCAACGCATCTTTTAACTTCACGGATTAAAATTTATTGTTTGTTTTAATTATAGTTAATCAATTCATCCTGTCATATTTTTTTTAGACTAAAAACGAGCGATAAATGCCTATTTTCTCATTCCTAATTATTCCACAAATAAAATGTCCACTAATAATATCTTCAAAAAACTAATCAATGACTTAGTTAAATATTTATCAATTTTAAAATAATAATAATAAAAAAAAAGATAAATAGTTTTTAAATTAATTGTTAAGCTCAACAATAATATCATTGTGATTTATCCAGAAACTCAGCTTTTGCATATACTGTGATTATGATCATACTAGTGAGAATCAAGATATTAGAGTAAACTCCATTCTTTATAGTCTTATTATACGAAGGTGTAATTATTGTTGATGAACCGTTGTTACAACAACAGTATGAGTAAAATCACCAGCTAAAGCTAATGGATTCAAAATGCATATTCTCAGCTAAACCAGATGAACAAATGGCTGCAACCTCGTGCCTCATTATGTTGGGTCCTGAAGCAAAAACTCCCACACTTGACCCTCTGTATTCAAATAGGAGTCCTATAAAAAGGAGAAATAAATTGAGAGATTTCAAATCCATTCATAAGTCTCTAAGACTTAATTAAAGAAATTGGAGGTGACTTACTTCTTAGATCAGGTCTTACACCATAATGCACAGTGGTGGCGTGAACAAGTGATTGATATGGAAGGCTTTCCAGTTCTCTATCTGCATTGTATACCATGGAGTTTGGCGACACTGTTGGTGTAGACCCTTCTACGTTCTGAATTTGTTTTGCTTCTTTAGCATTATGTTTCTTGTTCCAAAGAACAACTGCACTAGAAACAGTTGCTATGGACACACATATTACTAGCATGTTAAGGAATGCTTTCAAGGGGTACGAGAATATTTGGTTTGAGTTATGATCAATAGGGAATATGTAGTAACGGGTAATGAGCCCTATTAAGATAAGGAAAATGACGAAAGAGGATGAGATTATAGCACCAAGCCAGAGCCAGCTGTTAGGACCAAATATGGCATGTACTGGTTCATCAGATGGATTTGGCTTGAACCATATGGTTTGAGGTTGAATCACGCCATCCGCTTTAAACTCCTTGTCCCTTGTGATGTAGGCCTCAATTTGTAATTCCATATTAGAAATCTCAGAAGGGGTGCCAGATATTGGGAGGATCAAATCTAGCATTGACAGAGATGAAGAGTTCTTGAAGGCACAGATTAGGACTACTTTTGGGGTTTTGCATTTGAATGCAGTGTTCAGATATATTAGCTCCCGAATGATGGATATAAAAGGTGTGATGCCACTTCCTCCACTCACCATCACAAGAGTGTCATGCCTGGTGGATAAAAACACAAAATTTATTATTATGTGGAAGTCAAAGAACTCATCTCAGATAAAGCATTAGGTTTGAATTGCTTCTAAGAAACAAACCTTAGATAGTTGGTTGAAGCGGGTCCATAAGGACCTTCAACAGATACAGAAAGGCGATCTATCGTGGAAGGAGTTGAAAGCAACTGGTATAGCTTCTTGGTCCAAGTTCCTTCACCTTTAATAACAACACTTAGCTTGTCTAGCTCCAAATTACTATTTGACGAAATGGTAAATGGATGCCACTGCAGCTTGGATATGCTTGGTACATTTATGAACATCACACTTGTGGGGTTATAAGTTAATCCTGCCAAAAGCATGTCACATTAGACAAAAACTTCTCAATAAAATAGTCATTTCTCTCAAGAAGTAAATAGAGATGTCGTCAAGATACTGATCTAGGATAGCCATGTTAGTTACCATGGCTCTTAGAGAAGTTGAGTTCTACAGCTTCACATGGCAAAACCCGAGCAGAAACCAAACGCACATGGCGCCTTGATTGCAGAAACCTTAAGTAACGGTCAACCATGAAGAGGTAGAAACCAGGGAGCATGATGTAAGCATAGGACATGCCAACATGAAAGACGAAGAAGACTATGAAGGGGATGTAGAGGTAATGAGCGTAAAAGAAGAGCTCAAAAACTTTTCGCCTAATGCGGGGAATGGTTACAATCCATAGTAACAAACCAGCAAGCAAAGATATCTCTCCAGCCACAATTGATATATCATTTTTCTTCCATTCCAGCATCTGAAATGAAAAAAAGCCATGTCCCCATGAGCCTTAATTAATACACACAATACTATCAACACGATAAAAAAATTGCATGCCATGAAATCAATAAATTGTAAGTTCTTAACTAACCGATGAAAGTTGATGCATAACTGCCCAATGGATAATGTAGCAGAAGCCGTGAGTAGTGAAGAGTACCATTGCAATGTGTCCAAGCCAAATATGGTACTTGATGGAACTCTCAGAGGTGAGTCCAAGCAGTGGCAACACGCATGAACCACGAGCCACAGGAAAAAACATGAATACCAAACATATGCTCCCAACCATACCAAACCTTAGTGCTGCACTGTCTAGCTTCTCTTCCCATCTGCACCATCAACACATATCACATTCAACAATAACAATCAAAATGCTCAACATACTTATGAGACCCGTCAAATAAAGTGTTCAGATTGCAGCAATAGTTTTACTAAATAGTTTCATCCATCAGAAATCAGAATATCTATGACTTTTTTAAGATAATTGTTGTAAAAATTCACAAAATAATCAGACATAATCTGTTACACTGATTGTGTAAAGAAACCAAAGTCTAGTAACAGTGATAATAAAACATTACATTTTCTGGGAATCCTGTGCTGCTGATGCGGGGGTGATATTTGCAAAGCTGTTGCGTAAACCAAGTGCAAAGGACCAGACAAGGAGTGCAATGAACATAAGCAAGAATGCAAACTCTGTGACAGAAACAATGCCAAGTGGGCCTTTTCTAAGCACTGAACGCTTCCATATGGTTACCTCATCTTTCTTTGAATTGCCGCTGATGATGCACAAAACATATATACACGTGAAAACTCAAGGTTCATATTCCAAGCTATATCAATCATTTGCAACATACCATAAAACATAATAATAATTGATAAAGATACGACTAAAACTCACTCAATAGTTAAGTAGGAATCATCTATTCCTAAAAAAATAAGATGTAATAAATTTCAACATATAATCTCACAATCTATTACATCTATAATAACCCCAAAATTTACAAGCTTATCGGAACTAGAAATCTATTAAGGGTTATTGAAGACTTTGCCCTCCCTCACCCTCGTATCATTTTTCTAGAGTGGAAAAATTAAATATTTTGCTAAATAAGTATTTATGGGATGAGAAAATGAGTATTAAAATTAATTGAACTATTTTATAAGTTAAAAATCAGTTTGTGAAGGAATAAAAAAAATATTAATGAAATAATCTATAAATAGGGCAAAGTTAATGTTAACAAATAATTATTTATACAAAAAAAAAAATGGGACAAGTGCTTAACTTTTTATACAAGAGAAATATCTTCCTCGTTAATTGTCAAAACTATCATAAAATTTTCAGTTACCACCATCTTTACCGGAATATCTTGATATAACGTAAGAGCAAAAATTAAATACATTTCTGTACGTTTTTTTTTTTTTCCAAAACTGATGTCATTTTTTTCTATGATAGTGAACTAAAACTCCAGTTTGACTTATAAAAGTAAAAATACACAAAAAAAATTATAGAAAATTTAATGATATTCCAAAACGTCAATTAGCTTGAAAAATGTATTACCCTTTCAGTAACAAACATAATAAAAAAAAAAAACACTTTTTTGACAGAGATCAACAAAGTGTAGTGTTAAACTTACAATGAACCATTTATCAAAAGGTTATAACCAGAGTGAGTGATGAAAAATGGCACCTTTCCGTGTTGGAACCATTTGCTCTTTTGCCTATGTGGAGATACACACACCCCAAAGTGGCTATGAGCAAGATTGGGAAAGTGTACATCAGAAGATTAGCACCTGAAAGCAGAACATTATAGGGGAATATTAGCATAAAATAATGAAAGCAATGCAGGCACTGAAATTAATAGTTGAATAAAATTAAGAAGACCTGATGAACCAAAATAAGTTGTATTGTTAATCTTTGCTCTGAATCTAGGAAGCCATCTTTGTCTATAAATATCTGTGGGTGCCATTATCCAAATGAAGATCCAACCCAAGAACAGAACCAGCACCAAAATCCTTATTGCAAATTGAACCCTGTGAAATTTTTCATGAGAGGGTGACCTTTTCATCACAGTTTCTTGAGCCATCTTGCTTTTGGGTGACAAATTTGTGTAGAAGAAACAAAACACTTCAGTGAGGAGAATCAAAGTGAAATGACCTATTTATAGTTCAAGAAATGGAATGAGTTTGATTGGACAATTATACATAGAAAAATCATCAGGCATGGGACACCAAGAGGGTAAAAACAAAAAAGCATGCTTCATGTCCTTCTAAGAATGTAGAAAGTAGTATCATTTTTGTGGACCCTAATTATGTGGGTCATATTATAGGGTTGACATGAATTGAAAGGAATGTAATAGGCACAATTTCAACCCCTTTTTACTCCACAAAACACCCTTTAAAAAAGCATTAAGCTTTGATAAAAATAAAATAAAAAACCTACACACAAATGTTTAGATTATTGCTAGAAGATAAACCATTTTGTAAAGTTGGAGAAAATACTAACTTCAACATAGAATTCATCAACATAATAACGATCGATAGAAACAATTTTGACCATAGAACAAAATTGAAACAAAAATCTTTGATATCTATGCTTTGATCATTTATATGAAAACAAAATGGATGGTGAATGTTCAGAAACAGTGTTACCTTCAAAATGGAGAGCAATGAAACGTAGATGAATTTGATAAAATTGGATTCTGGGTTTGTTTTTTGTGTTTAATAAGGAGCATGTTCTTCATAACTCGTGCCTGTTTGAAGCCATGCTTGGGATTGCGCGTGTGAAGCGCGTGGGCTTGTGCTGAAGAGTGAAGAGTAAAATAACACTGTTATTAACATTTTTATTCATATAATATTTGTTTTACGTGGTTCCTAACAAAATAAAATATCATTAATTAACGGCAAGAGTGAAAGGTTATTCATATAAAATAAATTTTATTTGATAAAAATTAAATTATTAGCTAGTATATTTTGTCACTTTCTGATAACAATACTACATCTTTTTAAAAGAATTTAATATTTATATTAATAATTTTAAAAAAAGTTGTTTGTTTAATTAATCCTCGTCCTTCTTTGTAGAAAATATTAACTAAACAGGGAAATTTATTTATTAAAAGAATTATATTTATTGACTTTCATGTTATAGTTTATATATTTTAAAATTATCTGAATAATACTTTATAATCAAATGACATAGTGGTTGAGTGTAAAATAATTAAACTTAAATTATATTTAATGTTTTTTAATGAAAGACATTGAATATTTATCCTTCGAAGAAGAAGGAAGTTGCACGAGACAAATGGTAATAAAATCAGAGATTAAATCACTGCATTTAAATGTATAAATAGAGAGTGTATATTATAAATGTAAGAAAAATACCCAATTTAAAGGATTTTAAATACACATTCATAATAAAGTAGAGGGAAAACCTAATATGCATTTATTGTTATAATTATGAATTTTAAATTTGATTTAAGTTTTTTTATCCTTTTAATAAAGTATTATTTAGTTCGTCTCAAACAAAAACTACATCAATGTTTTAAATATGTTCTGCGACAATTACAGAAATAATTAAAAAAGTTTCAAGTTTCTATAAATGTTACTCTATTTAAATTTTGTCACTGAAAAAAAAATTCGATAGTTTTATATCCTTAACATTTTTTTAAGCATTACCTTTAAGTTTTAACCATTAACTGTTAATTTAGTGCTAAAAAACTATTAAATAAGATAATTATGATAATAAATATATTTTAAGTTAAACAATCATATTACTTTTATAAGGTAAATAATTGAATCAAATAATATATTTATTATTTTATGTAAATAAAATAATTAGATGTGATTTAATTCTATAATTTATTTTAAATTTTAATATATTACCAATGGTGATTTTTATTGTTTTTAATATTAACTTTACTTATATATATATATATATATATATATATATATATAGTATTCATAATTCGCTAAATATATTTTTGCATTAATCCTTTTTTTAAGTATAAAATGATAAACATATAAATTATAATATAATATAAAATAAAAATATCAGCACTCACCTTCTTTATGAAAAATAATGATTATAAACATATAAATAATAAAAAATTCCTATTTATAATATTAATTATTAATAATCTTATTTATTCATAAGATAGTAGGAAGAGTAATAACTTATATAATTGATAATATTTTTATGTGAAAAAAAGAAGTTCCCCGCAATCTTCTATGATGGAAATGAAATGTCAATATTATGAGTTATTTTATTCAGTACATTACTCAAGTTATTTTAAAGTTGATATATTATCTTAGCATACAAAATTATTATCCAATCTATGAAATTAATTATGAATTAGATTTTAAAAGGAGTTTCATATTGTAAGTTCTTTTTAGTAGGTATTTTATTCTGTACATTACACGAGTTATATTTAAATTTAATGTTATTTCTTAATAATATATGAAACTATATATGAATTAATTATATTTTGATTTTTGAAAATATTTGATGAGTTATTGTCCATTAAATAGAAGAATTTGCTTTATATCTAAAGATCATGTAAGGTGTATGATAATCATTTGCATTGTCTTTGTTTTTATTATAATATTCATTTATGTATCCATTTTATAACTTTTATATAATTTTTTAATTTTTAAGTGATGATATGTCACTAATTTAAAAAACTACCACTTGCTAAAACCCCTGCCTCACTAATAATGCCTCTAATCTTATTATGAAACGCAACCTATAAATATGGTCGAAGCCATGAACCATGCCTCTGTTACTCTCTCAATTAGTAAACTTAATGTATATATTTTAAGTTATGGAACTAACTATGGTTATTGTTCATAATACTTAATTGCTAACTTTGATTTTATCTTCCTTCACCTGATTTTATGGTTGGAATATGATTGGAAAATGTGTTTTCAACCTTAAAAAGAGGAAAGGTTAGAATTAATAAATTAATTAATTTAATTATGTAACTCACGAAGAGATATCCAATTTAATTGATAATATGAAAAATTTTCTAATAAATAAATTGAGTTATTTTATGAAATTGATGATAATCAATTATAAAAGATACAAAAGTTTTTTCTTTGTCAGCAAGAAACACAAAAATGTAAGTGATTTATTAACGATAATTTTAAAAACATAGATTTTAATATAGTACGATGTATAATAATTTTCTAGTATTTAATAATATTTAAAAATTACAACTTTCAAGAAAAAGACACTTTTGTGTCTTGGAGTTAATATAATTAAAAAATACATTTTTATTTTATAAGATATAGTGCTTGAATAACTTGTCTTACATCTAAAATCTTAAACATGTGTTAAAGATTAGTTAGAATTAACTTATTCAGATAACCCAATAATTTATCATGCTTGAGATGATGGTTCCATAAAGTCAACCCTAATATATTTATATCCTTATTTATTTATTTATTTATTTTATATTTTGTGTCTTCCAAGTATTCAAAAACTACTTTTATTCTTACACTTAAATTTAATTAGAGTTTTAGATTTTGTATTCTTACGATCCTATTAAAACCATTATATTGGAACCTGTGTGTTCATTGAATAATAATAAAATTATAATGCTCATTTTGTTGATAAACATTGGACTCATACTGCTAAAAAAAATGTGAGTCTTCAATCGTTTAATTAATACTAGAATTTTGTTAATAAGTAATATTTAGGTATTTTGTTCACAATATTATTTATATATATATATATAATTTCATCATATATTGTCACCCTTGTTCCTTTCTCTCTAGCTGTGAATTCCTTACGTTTTCCTTTTGCGACCCAAAATTGTAAATTTTGAGAAGATTGAATAGCTTTTAAGTTGTTAAAGGGGTACATAATTCGCGTTGAAATTCAATATAATTTTTTAAAAGTAAGATATAATCACTACATTTGGGTCGAGTGGTCGCTTATTTCTTGATAGCTAGAGGCTCCCTTTTATTATTTATTAAAATATTCTTTTTATTATATTTTTATTATTTATTATCTTTTTTTAGAAATTTGAATTATTATCAAATTAGTATCAATAACAATATTCGAACCGATATCTTAAAAGTTGGAAACTGATATATCAACCACTAAACTATATGAATTTTTTAATAATAAATTATAAATAAATTATATTTATATATTTTTATATATTTATATATATTTATATATTTTTATATATTTATATATTTATATATTTATATATATTTATATATTTATATATTTTATATTTTTATATTTTTATATATTTATATATTTATATATTTATATTTTTATATATTTTTATATATTTTTATATTTATATATTTATATATTTTTATATATTTTTATTTTTTTATATTTATATATTTTTATATTTAAAATTTAATTTATAAGATGGAAAAAAAATTCTTAATAGCTTAAAGTAGAGATGAAAGAACAGAAAAAAACAAGAACCCTAATATTTTAATAAAGAATTTATAATATAAACATTAAAATATTAAATATAATATTATATTTTTCAAAAGATAATAAATATTTTTAATTCATTATTTATAAATTTAATTAATTAAAAAATATTAATATTATTTGTTCATCATTTAAGAAAAAAATTAAAATATAAATATTAAATATTAAAAATAATATTATATTTTTAAAAACAAATTACATGTACAAAATATTAAAGATATCCACATTTTATAAAATACAAAAAAATTATACTTAAAATTGATGAAATATATTTAAAAAAGTTATATTTATTAAAGTATTAAAAATATTTTGTAATATATAAATTAAAAAAATTATCATTAAATTTTTTAAAAATTATTAGGTTGGTAATTTATACATAATGAAAATAAATTATAAATATTATAATATATTGGTATATTAGTATAGTATAGTATATTTGTATTCTAATTTTTAATTAAACTAAAATTACGCTAATAATGTATAATAATATACGAGGGGATAATAAATTTAATCCAATTACTTATGTATATATTCTTTTTTTAACTTTTTTTCTTTTTAAACTTCTCACGTTCTACATTTTTTTGAAAACTCTATCATTTCTACTACATTATCATTCTCGTCTCCTCC